TTTCGAAATGTCGTCCTAGTAGGTAATGTCATAAAGGTTTTGTTGCCCATACAATGGATTAAAGCTCTTTTTCTATGGCACTGTAGTTAGTTTCGTGGTCATTGAGAGTTCTGCTAATAAAACAAATGGGATGTCCGTCATGAGAGAGTACTGCTCCAAGAGCTACATTACTTGCGTCAGTGGTTAAAACGAATTTACTTTTAAAGTCTGGAATTTTTAGAATTGGGTCATTAGAAATAAGTTGTTTAAATTTTTCAAAAGCTTAAATGTATGGCTTTGTCTGCAAAATTTGGAATGAACTTTCTGTAGTAATCCAAGAAAACCTTTTATTTCTTTAGTTTTTGTGGGAATTGGATATTTCTAAATTGCTTTGATTTTATCAGGATTCGGTTTTATTCCATCCTTAGTTAGGAATGAATTTTCTTGTTTTAGAAACTCGCATTTATTAAGTTGTAATTTGAGATTTGCTTCAGAAAGCTTCTCGAAAATTAATTTGAGTGATTGCAAATGTTCTTCTAAGGATGTTGACAATACAATTATATCATCAAGATATACCAGACAGTGTTTATTTAGTAACGGTCGTAAAACATTGTTCATGCAACGTTGAAAGGTTGCGGGTGCATTTTTTAATCCAAATGGCATACGAAGATATTCATAGTGGCCATGTTTAGAAGAGAAAGCTGTTTTTTGAAAGGAATCTGGATTCATTTCAAGTTGGTGGAATCCTTTTGCAAGGTCAATTTTAGTGAAATAATTGCATCTACCTAGTTTTCCTAAAATCTCGTCCATATTTGGTATTGGGTGCCTATTGCTTATGGTTACTTCATTTAATTTCCTGTAGTCAATTACGATTCTGAATTTTTGTTTACCTGAAGCATCTTGCTTTTTCTGTACGATCCATATAGGACTACAATAAGAAGAATTGCTAGGCCTTATGATACCTTGATTAAGCATGTCTTGAATTTGATGTTCAACTCCTGTTCATATGCTTGTGGATAACTGTATGTTTTTTTATGTAAGGCTGAATTGTGGGTAGTATTTATAATGTGCTTTTCTTGATTACTGAAACTAAGTTGGTCGCCTTCTTTATATTGTATGTTTTGATATTGTTTCAACAAACTGATTAAATTGATTATTTCTTCTTCATTTAAATGATCTAATCGGTAAGAGCTTGAGTTTGCAGATTCTTGGGTATTTGGAAATTTCTCTAATTGGATTTTTAAACTGTTGATTAGTTTCAGGATTTGGTTGGGCTAAGAAGTGGCTCTGATTTGTGATTGGAATATCGTTGGTTAGTTTATACCTTTTATTGTATAAAGTAATAGTTTTATAATCTATAATCTATAAAGGCTTGTGCTTCTGAAAGCATTTTTCTACCAATTAATAGATCATAGTCTGAAGAGAGTTGGTGTAGAAGAAATTCATTATTACTGTGGAATAGATTGCTAGAAAGGACGTTAACTTTCTTTGTGATAGTTAAAGGTCCGTTGCTGGTTTGAATGAAACAGTCGGTGTCATAATCTTGTAAATTGAAAACATTTGATGTCATCATATTTACATTTAAACATTTCAGATTTTTGGCTTTTTAAGTGATTACAATGTACAGTTGGTTTCCAAGGGTGGAAGCTGAAAATTTTCGGCTTGCTCGATTTCTATTTCATTTGGTTGTTCTGTCTCGTGTTCGGCTGATTGTGTGTATGTAAAGTCTGCACTTTGTGGGTAACTTTCTGCTTGATAATATTGTGAATAATATTCAGGATAAGCAGCGCATTGATTATAGTATTCTTGTTGCATGTAATCATGAAAGTTTAGCTCTTCCTGATTTCTAGCTTCATCGTCAATACTCATCTTACTCTGTCCACTTTCTGCAGGTCTAACTCGTTTAGTCGGTTGGTTGGCTACGCCAGAGTTATTGAAAGAGTTTTGTTGTGGGGTTACTTGTCCGAGACGATTGTTGTCGAATTGGGTTTGTCGGAAGTTTGGTCTGGGTGTAAAGTAGGTTGGTCTGATTGGACTAAGTATTTGTTGCATCGGTTGAGGTGAACAATTATTAGGTTTAAAAGTGTTGTTGTTAGTATAATTGGGTGATGGTTGATGATATGGTTGTTAAATGTAATGTTGATGGGGTCGAAATGGGACATAGGGTTGATTTGGTTGAAGGAAAGTGGGGAATCTTTGAATATTTGGGTGTTGATACAATGGCTTTAAACATTTTTCTTGTTTTACTTTATTTGGGGATGGATTAACAAAGGGTTCGTTATAAGATTTTTTTCTTGCAAAATATTAATTAGACATCTTAAATCGGGAATCGCAATTTATAATTCGAATGCAAATGTTTGTGGGTAATTTTTGAATTAGGTCGTCAATGCTAGTTTTAATTAGTCGCGCATACAATGTTTTTTCGTCAATTTATTTTCTAGTTCTAGCTTACTCATTAGTGTCTGCCTATAGTGTTCTGATTCTTCCAGAAAAGCTCGAACGTTGTCTTTGAACGGGGTGCTCCTGAATTCCTCCAGTAGAATGTGGTTCTTGGTTTGCGTCTTGTAGTTCAATATTTGTTGCTTCCGAATATCCGTCCAGGTCATCAAGCATCGGTCAAGGGTGTTATTGCGTTGCTTTCCATTATAAATTTTTTGTTTGTTTTTTATTTAATTATTTTGTATTTACTTGGTTTTATTTTTAATTTTTCTTATCTCTTAGTTTTTGTTGTTTCACTTCAGCTTCTCTTATTTTATTTACAGTTTCTTTTAGTTGTTTATTATATTTTTATTGTATTCACTTAATTTGTTAACTTATAGTTTAAAACGTTTGATTGGTTTGCACAGATAGCACTTTAGAATCTTTTGAGATAAACAGAAGTTTCTGGAATTATTTTCTCTTCGAATTCTATCGCGTCTTCTTAAATTGTTTTTCAAGTTTTTTGCACAATCCGCGGCTTTGACAATATGCGAATTTTGGTGTACACGTCACTGTCGAGGTTGAATAAAAACTTGACGCCATATTGACCATCGCTTGGGTTACCTTCGCGTTGGTTATTTAGCGGATAACTGTAAACGGGACACAAGAATTAATAACTTAGCTATTGCATCAGGATCCACAATTTATTGGTATCCTACTGACTGCGCCAATTGGGTTTTTTTTATTTACTGTGAGTTTGAATCTTATAAAAATCGCGCACAGCTCTAACGGTTGAATTGAATTAAGTTCATTTATTGAAGAACAGCTTAAGAGTAAAATTCATTAGAACTTATTTTATGTTGAGAAGCTTATTTCTACGTAAAGACGCGCAGCTGCAATCATCTGAGTGAGGTGTCTATTGCTTTGTGTAACTGTACAAGTGCAGCTGCAATTATCTAAGTAAGTTGTTAATTGCTTTGCTTATCTGTTTGGATGCAGCTGCAATTATCTGAATAATGTTTTATTGCTTTGCTTAACTGTATTTATGGTTTTGCAAGCGATAAGCGCTTGCAGATTCGCATCTGCAATTATGCTGCCTTCTTATATTTGTCACTATAACTGTGCATACGTGCGAATATGCCACTATATGCCCTTTTTGTTTTCTTTGTGTGCGGTTTTCATTGTTTTTATTGTGACTCCGCGTCACACTATATATGATTGTTTTCTGTGTTTTGGCTAATCAGTGCGATGGTATAAATGGCTGATTGTTACTGCAGTTAAAGGTTTCGATACCAGATACTGACTTGAATCCTCAAAGAGTGCCGATTCAAATTGATTTAAGTAATCGTGAATATTATATAACTCGTAGTCGGCTTGTTGCATGGTTGTAGTTATTTTCAAGGGGTCGGTGCCCTCAATGTCGTCCCGAAATTATTATTTTACTGCTGTGTGGCGGGTCTATTGAATTACTGATTCACAATGTTTCGGATATTTTCAGTAGGGCCTGATGTTGATATATGGGTCTAGAACCTGAATATGGTCTAAGGAGTTTTGGGGGTGGGGTCTCTATTGTGATAACTCGCACGCTGAGTGACCATTTCACAAGGCTCGTCGTGATGTTAAAATTAGTTTAATGATAAAGTCGACAGGTAAAGCCACAGTTTGGCAATTAAAATCAAAAACTCATCAAGTTCGTTAATTTATATATTTAATAGCAGCATCAACAGCTGAGCTTATATAGCCATGTTCATATATCTATTTTTATGCAAAAAAGTATAGGGTCGTATCTTTGTTGCAGGCTGTATATATGTCAGAACCGGACGGATCAGATATTTTTGTTGTATACTTTCCAAAGGAGTATAAATAAAAACCTTTTTAACGGAGTTACTGGCCGGGATACAAATATCAGTCTCACCATGGCCAGAAAGGTACAAGACATATGTTAGTTGTTACGATGGTGGGCTTAGTGGGGGAAGTGTTTCAAACGGGCTAGTCGGGTACTACTTTTAGAGAGCATGGCGCTACTCAGTCGTTAGTTAAACATACACATTTACACCTTCAGGTTAGGGAATGGAGGTAATGTTAAGCACTGGCTAGCAATGGTGCCCGACATTAACTTCAAAAAAAAAAGAAAATAAGGTCCGACTTCTTTGTTCGCATTATGCTTCCTTCTACCTAAGTCTGTTTTCCTACTTCCGCAATCTGCAGCCCCACCGCTCCGTTATCCCCTTAGGGTTATGTTCGTAACCTTATCTTCCTTGGCACACGTCAACCTACTCTAATTGTCGTTGCAAAAGTGTCGGCCCGCTCGCAGTCGAAACGTGCGCTTGCCTCGGCCGCTCTTTTCATCACGAGATTTCGGAAGTTCGCTTCCCATCTTTCGCTCTTTGCCGACGAAGTGTAATTGCGCTCTTGGGGACGGTGTTGGGCTACCGATCAGCAGCGCACAGTGCGGCGACCGTCGGTTCAATTGAAATTCAAATTATGCCTTTGATGACTACATGTCATCTTGCCCTTCATCAACTATATTCTAATACGATACGTTTAACAATGTTTTATAAAACTATAGATCTTCGGCTCCTTGCCGTGACTCTCCATGTTCATGCCAGTTCAGTGCTAGTGTGAACACAGCATTGACTGAGCCTCACTCAGTGTGAGAGAGTCACTCAGTGAGACAGACTCACTCACTGAGAGAGACTCACTCACTAAGTCGATCCCAGATGCGCTCAGCACTCTCCTTGTGGTCTCCTTTCCACCTCCATCACTCCAACCAAAAATATGTAAAATCACTTAACCAGCAGAGTTTGTTACATGCAGCAGAAAATTCTAATAAAGTGTTTTTTTCACCAATAACAATCAAGGAATATTTATCTGACGCCACCCCCACAAACATTGGTCCTTCGAGCCGGATAATATATAAACCGATCGCCCCTACACAAGTTTTTTGGCAAGTATAAGTAAATACAAAATTTCCTTTCTATATATATCGGCAATACCCGCCATATTTCTCCGCCATATTTATTTTCTTTAAGAAATATATATAAATTATCCGACCACAAAACTAAAAACAGTTTAGTTAAATTTTGTGTTAGTTACTTCCAACTACAAAGGAAATCCACTTGAACATTTTTTGTATGTACATACGTACGCACTCGTGCACTTTCCTAACTATATAAAAAATAAAAAAATTTTTTTTTTTTTATTACGTGTCGGCACTTAATCCGACAAGTTGCTTCACAATATTGTTTTCTAATTAATATTGTTAATTCATGTTCTTGGTCCGACACACAAACATACACCAGGTTCACCAGAACGTATTGTACATACATACATACATACATATATTCAATCCGAATATAATTGCCCATATGCATTTTGAATAGACACTATATTTAACCTTATTATTTAATAAACATTAACACAAACTCCAATTCATTCTCTTAACTTATAATTTATTGCATCTTGTATCATATGTAAAAATCACAGCTGCCGATCCGCACTCCAATTACACGTTTTTATGCAATTGCACACATTCCCATACAATTACTCTTGTTCCGAGACGCACCAATAAAAACACAACAATCATAATTAATAGATTAATAATACTACTCATTTATTGTAAGTAAACAAAAACACTACACATTAACTTCGAAGATCTACATATGTCAGCGGTGTGTACTCAGCCACAAAAGTGGGTATTTTATGAGTACCACAAAAAAGTAAAAATAAACCAACCGTTACCGTATTCAAGGACTAATATAATAATAAAATGATCGGAAACGAGCATCGAATTCTTTATTATCATTTCCCGTGTTTAATAAATAATCGTAAACCTGTACCGGCATTCCAGTGTTTCTTTGTTTTACGCATCGCAACCTCTACTACTAAAAACGAGCACCTTTGTTTTCCTATCCAAACGCTTCCGCCTAGTATGCCAACTGGCAAAGGGGAAGAAACAAAGCATCAATTAGCAGTTCCGTCCGCAAACACCTCCAGAACTTCTCCGTCTCCAACAGCAGCCCTTTGAGTCGAAAGGGAAACATCGTCCCGGACTAAAAGCGAATCATCCGCGTCCACGTCAAGGGGAACCGTTAAGGCACCTCTTAGTTCGAGGCCAAGTCCACTGATAAAAATCAGTTGCCCGCCGTCCAAAATTAAAAGCGAAGCATCCCTGACCACTACAGTCGGACGCACTAAGGCAACCATTAGCACAAGATCTAGTCCGATTTCCACGCGAGCTAATACCAAAACGGCCCAAAATATGACATACGCGCCCTTAATCAAGTTTATTGCTGTCACTGATCGGCTAAGTCAGTTTGAGGCAAAAATAAACACTCCTGGAGGCTCTGACCCGTCTCTGTATACGTGCCAGGTCCGTCGGGACCAAGTGCGAACCTTGTGGGACAAGGTTGAAAAAGAGTACGAGGTCGGCTCAACAATAATCTCGGAAGCCGGTTCACTGGAAACCATTTCAGTTATGCAGTCCAAGTACGACTATTGTTACATGGTATATGAGAGATGCGCCGCTAAACTTAACGAGCAAATCTATACCCCTAACGCCCAAAATAGACCATCCGCTCAGTCCACCATTCCGACATATGTTCCCACAGGGTGTCGCTTACCTCCTTGCGACACAGAAATCTTCAGCGGAGATTACATACGTTGGCCCACATTTCGAGACCTCTTTACCGCAATTTACATAAATAATCCTAGGTTATCAGAGGTCGAGAAATTATTCCATCTCAATGCGAAAACCAACGGTGAGGCTCAGGCGATTGTATCGAAGTCACCTTTGACTAACGATGGCTTCCCATCAGCCTGGGCCAATCTGACTGAGCGTTTTGAGAACCGAAAATTGTTAGCCAACAGCCAGCGCAAGATTCTTTTCAACCTGCAGCCAATCTCCCAAGAGTCTGGAACGGCAATTAAGGAACTTCAGAGCACCATTCAAGGTTGCTTAACAGCTCCGGAGTTATCCGAAATCAACATAGAAAACTGGGAGTGTATCCTCGTGTTCCTATGTTCCTCCAAATTACCCAAATTAACACTCTCCTTATGGGAACAGTCCATCTCCAGAAAAACGACATCTCTTCTTGGCTTGAGATGAACGCCTTTCTCTTAGAACGCTATCGCACTCTAGAAGCGATAGAAGAGCTTAAGTCAAGCGCAAATACTCCAGCGCACTCCAGAATTGTTCGAACAGAACCTCCTACCACTAGAAGGCTTAACTCATTTGAGAATAAGGTCGCTAACAAGCCGCAAGCCTGCAAATTGTGCTCCAGGGAAAATCACCCTATCCGTCTGTGCCCACGTTTTCTCCAAACGCCCGTCAGCGAACGGGCAACTCATATCAAACAGCAAAAACTATGTTTGAACTTTTTCGCTTGGGGTCATCAGTTAAGGGATTGCGCAAGTGCTCACAATTGTTTTGCGTGCAAGGGTCGTCACGATACACTCTTGCATCGTAGTGACGCTCCACAATTGAGCCCTACAGTAGGCTCCATGCCACAAGCAACAGCTCCCTCCAATCAATCCATACAGTCCACTCCATGCCAACAAACGAATGTTCACAATTATGTTGCAATTAACACCCACGGTGTTCTCCTAAGTACGGCTGTTATATATGTTCGCCATTTGGGTGTAAATTATACAGCTCGTGCACTGATCGACTCGGGATCAGAGGCAACATTTATTTCCGAGCGACTCTTCCACCTGATAAAGCTGCTGTACAAATCCGTACAGGCACAAGTATCGGAATTAAATCAAGCTGTTGCAGCCCAGCCTCGCAAGCTCTGCCATTTTAATATTGGCTCTCCTTCTAAGCCTCGTATCCAAATCGAGGCATCAGCCTACGTCCTACCACATTTGGCAGGGAATCTACCATCATGTTCAATCCCCCAAAGTTTATTGACAACCCTGCCAAAACTCCAGTAAGTGGAGACTAATTTCCACAAAAGTTCGCAGATAGATGTGCTGATTGGCGCTGATATCCTACCGTCCATACTAACGGGCGGCTCCCATCCTAATATATGTGGCACATTGTGCTGGGCCAGGAAACTATTTTCGGGTGGATTTTAACAGGCCCAGTTTCAAAGACCGCATCCACCACAATCTCGTCGTTCTCGACTCGAATATCTGTCTTTCAAGAGCAATTAGACGTCATTCTCACAAAATTTTGGGAGGTGGAGGACATTCCAGTCAAACTGGTAAAGAGCTCCGACTCCTTTTGTGAGAGTAATTTCATCCGAACAACAAAAAGGAACGAGAATGGCAGATATGTAGTCACCCTACCTTTCCAAGAACCTAATCCAATAGACTTAGGACATTTAAGATCTATCGCACTACCTCAGTTTCTAAAGAACGAGAATTGTTTAAAAAGAAATCCCCCTTTGAAAGAGCAGTACGACTCCGTGATTCGGGAGTACTTCGACTTAGGTCATATGACACAAGTCTCTCCAAACAGAAACCCCAATAATTTTTACCTGCCGCATCATGCTGTTTTTAAGCCCGACAGCACCACAACAAAGGTTCGCGTTGTGTTTAACGTCTTCCAATGTCAAAAGTCTAAATGATATCCTACGGGACCAGTACTCCAATCCGATCTGACGATTCAGATACTAAAGTGGCGATTCTACCGCTACGTTTTCAATGCCGATATAACCAAGATGTATCGGCAAATCCAGGTCGATCCAAGACATACGCCCTACCAACGAATACTATTTCGCAATGAGAACGAAGAACTTTGCGACTTCAAACTCAATACAGTTACCTTAGGGCTAAATTGTGCCCCATACCTCGCAATCCGGGTCCTCCGTCAACTTGCTCGTGATATACGAGAACATTGTCCCATCGCATCCGATATAATTGAAAATTATATGTATGTCGATGATGTTCTAGCAGGGGCACACACGAAGCCACAAGCAATTTCAGCCATTGCAGAACTCCGCATGGCACTCGACAGAGCTGGGTTCCCTCTGAGAAAGTGGACATCCAACACAAAGGAAGTGTTAAAAGGAATACCAAGGGACCACTTACTGTGTGCGGATTTCTTAGAAATCGAAGAGGCCAGCGTCGCTAAAACGCTAGGCATTCGATTGCAAGCCACAACAGACCAGTTTTTCTTTGCTCCGTCCAAAATGGTATCTCAGCCTTCGCTCACTAAACGTGAAGTACTATCACGGATTGCGAAATTGTTCGATCCTGCTGGATGGCTAGCACCTGTGATAGTTCGAGCAAAGATTTTCATGCCAGAGATCTGGCTCCAAGAGCTGGGGTGGGATGATTCCCTGCCGGAACATCTCGTTCAACGTTGGCTTGAATTCCTAGCCGACTATCCCTCTCTCAAAGAGATCCGTATTCCAAGATGGGTCGATTTTCAGCAAAAAGCAAAGGTGCAGTTTCACGGCTTCTGCGACGCGTCCCAGCGCGCATATGGTGCTGCACTTTATTTGCGCGTCGAGATAAACGGATGCATTTCCACTCACCTTCTCGCAGCAAAAACGAGAGTCGCGCCAGTTAAGACGATATCACTACCACGCTTAGAGCTGTGTGGCGCCGTCCTTCTTTCCGAGCTCACCACGGCTCCTATTCCTCAGCTCCCCATCAAGAGTAATGAAAATTTCAATTGGACAGACTCCACTATTGTTCTTGCCTGGTTGGATAAACCTCCATGCAAATGGTCTACCTTTGTGGCTAACCGGGTAGCCAAGATATCATCAACCAATGGCAAATGGTCCCATGCTCGATCCGAACATAACCCAGCTGACCTAGCTAGTCGGGAGGTTTCTCTTCGGGACCTATTGGGCAGCACTTTGTGGTGGCATGGACCGGAATGGTTACAACTACCACAAAACCAATGGCCAGTTCCTGTTACGGTACTTGAGACAGAGATTGAACAACGCGCAGTGAAGTGCAATGTCTCACAGCTACCCTCCTATAACCTTCTGGAACGATTCTC